GGTCCCTGGATGTATCAACACATACATGCATGACTGCAGTTGAAGATGATATGTGGGAGACTGTGCAAACTAAGCAGTGTGAAGGAGAACAAAACACAAAGTAGAAGGTAATACTGGGAGGAACTTCGAGACTGTTGTCAAAGACGATATCCGGCCCGCAAACGAATGGAGCAGGAAAACACTCGGTAAATAGGCTCGGGCTCGAATCGGAATGAAAGGCTAGAACACTGTGTGTGAAAGTTGGCAATGTAACTTCACTGGGAAATCTTCAACCTTACGCCGAGTTTTCCGAACGTTTGATTGGTATGATATTTCCAATCGGAATAATATGCTAATTAGGAAGGAGGAAGTGTCAAATCCGCATAGAATGTGGAGTAGAGCAGGGTGTGAAGTGGTGTGGTGTGATGATGCATCATAGAGTATTTTTTGAGGAAGAAGCGTGTGGGAATGTAACTAGGCAAAATGTCCGACACGACGTCGCATGAAATTGGAAAGTGTGATTTGGTGTATGCGAATTGATGCCTTGCATACCCTTCGGGCCAAAAAGGGCATTGGCAAAATTCTAAATATCGCATTTTGTCAAGTTCGGTTTACGAATTGACAGCCAGCAACTTTCAACGAATCATCTGCCGAGAGTATGGTATTGATTGCTCATAACAATTGATACGAGAAATGTATCATTCGAGTGCTTATCCCTAGCGAAGAAGAACCTGAGATATGTAATGGATATCTAGAGCCATGGTACCGCGCTAGATGTATGGGTGGCATAGCTCTTCTGCCTACCTTGACCGAGTGATATCATTCATGTGACTCAGGTATTATCATACGCAGATGCCCCTTGGAGCCCAAAGAGTAATCTGGCCATCTAACAGATCACACTCTCTGAGAAAAGACTAAACTTTCAGGTCACTGATGAATGGAAGTCAAGTAATATCCTGCATATTCTTGCATTCAGACAAAGATGTAAGCCGGAACTATAGAATGCTGTATTTATAAATGACATACGATATACGATATATGAACAATATACGAAGTGTAGTATCCATGCAGGATGGGAGACCCTATTTTGATGCTCAGGGGTCGAGTGGGAGTGGCGTGGGAGTGGCGTGATGGTGCCAGTAGATGAAACTGACGCGGGGAGGTCTGTCAAGTAGTAATTACCATGAAAAACAAGAAAGAAATACGGCAATCCTAGGTGGCAGAAACTTCGACCTCAGGATAAACATTTAAAACTTCAATTTAGATCTACTTTTAATAATGCATCTTGAGGTTCTAATATCAAACTTCAATAAAAGAGTCGAGCTTTTCTCTCAAGAAACCTGGAAACTGTTTGGATAGAAACAAAAGTCGAATGGGAGGGAAACGTGGTCTCCGGTCCCCCAAGATTCGGCATCCTCCGATGTTGAAGCTTACTTTCCCCCGTATTTGCAGTGAGTTTCATAGATATGAGCTAGTAGAAACCAATGCCATTTTTGATGACATGCATTTGCAGCCAATTGGGATATCCGCGGAGATTTGCATAAGACATTTGCACTACATCTTCGATCAACTTCGCGCCGTTCCGTTCACTTGCATCATCACAAGCATGCAGGTGGCTTTAAAGTAGTATTTTGGCTGGTCCATTGTTTCGGGATACGATTTTTGTTGCAAAAGGGTAGACAGTCGGTCAACATTGCTTCTGTCTGTTCCCCATACTAACATAGGTGAAAAGTACTCTATACCTGAGTATTAGTAGAAGAGTAGAAGAGTAGAAGAGTAGAAGAGTAGAAGAGTAGAGAGTTTCATTCGAAAGATCCATTTAATCCCGAAGAAAATTGGTCAACAGGCATGGAATTTGTTTTGTGCACGTGTGTCTCCTGCATTGAGAATTTAGGCTAATAAGATACCAGGAAAGATTCCTTGTTTGATATCGAAGTGGCGTCAATATTCTCCGAGAACACTATTATTAGATAAATACCTCAACAAGCACCGTTCAGATCTAGACTATCGGTTGGTGCTTTGAGAGGCTGACAGAGGTTCGACTTTTATATCTGGTGCAACAAAGCCTGCGAACTGATAATCGTGGCAAAATTGTGATTGGGTAGAGAGTCGATTATTAGGCAAGATGAAGCATACTTCTGATAATATAGTTCCAAGAGCGACATTCTAAGGACCGTGGAAAAGATTGACTTCTGGTGTAATGCCTTGAAATTGACTATTCAATGTCCAATATGTTTATCTCAGGGTGATGAATCTTAGTGGTTGTCGAGGAAGAAGTCTTTCCGCAGATGCGTTGCCACTTTGCGAAACTATCCATGGGGCCATTGAAAAATGCAACCTGAACTATAGCCAATCTGTGGAATCATCAGTTGAGAATAGCGTAATGTAATTCCAGATATTGATTTGATCGCAGCATGGATAGGTCCAAGAGCTGTTGTTCAACATAGCACCATTCAAAACAGAGATCCGTCTTGATGACATAGACTCATGCCTTGATTTATAACAGATGTCACTGTGGCTGTTGTACAGTAAGATCCTTCGAGAGGCTTTCAGCAACAGCGAGCTTTCGGAGAAGCTCCTCTGTGACTGCTTGTTGATTAGAGGTCTGTCAAATAACGGCCATCGCTGTCAACATTAGATATTGGATCCTTATTTAATCTAATGGCATCGAGGTTGATTCCAAGTACTTGAGTTGCTTTCTTCGCTATGAAAGATTTTCAGTCGATCGCATGGGTACTAATAAAGAAATTGATCTTGCATATGAAAGCGCCAGTTGAACTTGCGGATGCGATATAATCGTACATTCAGTATGCACATCATGCAGATATTCTTGTAAAAAATTCAAGCATGCAATCCACTGTGACACCGTCGTCTGTAGGCGTGTAAGACCCACAAACCGGAAGATTGACCCGGGGCCTTTTTTAACTGCCGTTGTTTCCAAAGGTACAGACAGACATGTCTACGTAGTCCAAAGCTTCACCGATATCTCGGTAATTGGCAGTCAATCATCAAACCGATCGTGGTAATAGAGGGCACGACAGCCGCGGTGTAATATGGCTTGAATTTCAACAATCGAAATCCAGGTTTTTGGAAGTGGCCTCGAAAAAAATCAGGCTGATGAAGCAAAGATCTCGCGCGGCAAGAATCAGTTGCCGGCCCGCGAGAATGCAAAATCTACAAGCAAAATTGAGATTTAAGACCTAACGGCTTAAAAGCTTGAGACTTTCATCCCAGCCAATGTAGGTCGACAGATTGAGAACATAAAGTGCTCTACTTGAATATATACTTTAACGTGCATATATCAACTCCGTAGCACAAGGTCTCTTGAAAGCCATTCAAATTCAACTGTTCCGATGGCATTCTAACGATGATAATCATTGAGCTTGTGCGTTGTCTGCTCGCACAGCGATTTGGTGAATTAGCTCAACAACTGAAAGTTGGAGTTCTGCTGCCGATCCTTGTCCTGTACGTGAGCAAAAGAAGATATGTTCGCGCTGTAGAAAGCTCAATTTCCAGATCTTCTCACTTAAATCAGGGCCATTTTATTCAGCCATTTCTGCGGTAACGAATCAGAGGCATCAAAACTCACACAAAACCGTGAAGCGTCTCACAACGCTATTTTATAGGCTTGTACCACGCAAGGTCATAGAATTTGGTTTCATTGGCCGGAGAACATCCCACTGCTCTACTATTCGTTACGACTGTGATGATATGAATTTAAAGAAACAAAGCCAAGAGTGAACTGTTCGGGGAAGCGGAGGCTAAATGTAGGGACACGGTATCAACAATGATGACTCCGAGCTGAAAGTCCGTATTGATGAATTCCGAGGTTGCGTGCACAAAAGATTTGCTGTATTCATATCCATGTAGACACATTAGTTGCACCGAAGATATTTGAGGCTTGAGGTACTATACTCGAGCTAGAGAAAGCGGAATTATTTTGAGCAACATACTTTTGCTTTCCACCACGTGTAACTACTCAATTTTGACAAAAATGTGATGGATTGATGTTTACCTATCCACGGGGCTGAGAATGCAGGAGCGGTCCAAATGCAACGGCCACTAAATCAAGTACCATTATCATCCTTGCGACGGCACAAGGGCGGGCAGGAAGTGTGGAAGCTGACCCGGGAAGCCTTCGCTAACGACCCGAACATCCTAGCACATTGCAGACGTCCGCGGATATTGGATTATAGATTCATATCTGCATTTATGTGTCAGCAATAATTACAATAACAATGCAGTCTATATTGTCTTTAATCTTAGCTGCACATGCCGTGTTTCGTGAAGGAAACTATGATGTCCCCAGTCGGATATGGATACAATCGCCAATTGATTTGCGGCGCAAGGCTCTCGAAAGATAGAAGTAGTCACCCATATATCATCGAGATGGGGCGATTGATTGCGTAAACTGCGTATGGGCCAGTAATAGGTGCATTAACTTAGCTGCATAAGTCTTGCGCGCCTGCAAGTTTGACAGGTGGAATGTTACATCGATTCTGATGATGATTCAACAAGCGACCGCAGAGGTACAGTCAACCAGAAAACACTCCGTATTCGAGATTGACTGCTTAAATATATCATGAATGAATCCGTGCCCGTTGTCAAATATGATATTCTTTTCAAAAGTGGGGTCTTGCCCTCGATTGTTTTTCTCTGTCGCATGGATCTTGTTGTCTGTTCATGGACTTCAGATGATTCAGTATATGGGAATCATACGTCGACTTCTCGAATATTATGAGTGCCACTGGAATGAAATCTAAAGCCACATTATTACGTATAGGACTCTATTTGGGCCTACTGCAGATGCGAGCGGATGTTTTCTTCCTGCGCTGCGAAAGCCGTGAAGTCTGCATGAATCATAATTGGAGAAACCACATGCATTCCGACACAAATCTGCAACATTGACTTTCCATGTAACTCTCATAAGATTTGAGCGGGGAAAACTTCGTTTTGATCCATGTAATTTGCCTCGAAGATTTAAAGTATTGTTGGCCTCTAAAGTGCCCTACTACTTTCCATGATCCTGGATGTCTTGATATCAGTTATATATCTTGACTCATCCAAATTCTTTCCTGCCAAAAGGTAGATATTTTACTCATACTTTTATTGAACCTCATTTGCAGGTTGAGAGTCCATACTGAGAATTAGAACAAGTATTTACATTCTCGGTGCCATATTAAGTCGTTAAAAGCTGCCCTGTTGTAGCCATCCTGTCATTTGAGCCGCTCTCCTACCAGCGGGTAGTGCAATCAAATCCGAAAGATATATTGCTGTTAGCAGTCAGTAAAAACATATTCAGAACACAATGAGTGGATCTGGTGGAGGATACTACAAGTACCGGTGTAAGTACTGGTTATTGTATAATTGCGAAAATTGGGTCTGGGTTAATAATGAATCGTGTGCAAAATGCTTGGTATGTCAATCGCCAGCCATGAGCCGATGCATGCTAATATCGGTCAGGCGAGCGGCAGAGATGAAATCATCGTTTCTGCATCTCAACTTAGAATGTCGAGGGAGATATTCGTGCCACAGATTCAAGATGGGAATTTGTATTATACAGTGATGGAGATTGTCGCTTTGAGCGACTTTGACAGCGGTTGGATAGTGAAGGAGCCAAAGAGCCCAGAGTTTCCAACAACCACGTCCCCAACGGCCGAGAGTCTTCCAGCAAACAATGGTGCTGTTTCTCAAGTTACAAGAGTGCAAATTTTACCAGCACAAAAGGATACTCGATAGATGACATACATCTAATCAATCTCCTTTGCTTTCTCCGGTTTTTGCGTTTGCTCGACAATGAAAGAATATTGTTTTTGGTGGATTATTTTCTCGCTAAAAGGGGTAATTTCCGATGTTGGCCGGACTGGGACGATTTGGAAACGAAAAGTGTTTTTCTGAAATTGCGACGGTCTATATTGGATTATCAAAATTCATTCAGCATCGTGTGGGGATATCTTCATGTGGTCAAGAATTTTTGTAATTGACCAAGTCGGCGGGTGAACAAGGGTGTAACAAAATCTTGAATCACAATATAACGGATTGCGTTGCGTGCGCATCCAGGGAACTCCTTGAAAAGCATGTGACCCTTTACGTATTTCGTACCATTGAAAGATCTTGCTCAGGAAGTACCTAGCAAATGACAATCCGCATAGGAGATTCTCGGATACAATCTTGAGAAATGAAGCTAGGCGATACACGGAGTCTGGAGAAAGGTTTCACAGCCTTGCGTGTTTGATATTGCATCAAATTGCCGGTCCTATTGAACGATAATATCCACTTTGACGAAGACAAAAGTCCGGAAACATTGGAAGTACATGTTTCTATCCTCAGTTAGCGTTTGCCTCTTTCGGTGAACTCAGCATAATTTACCGGCCATCTGCCTATCAATCATCTTGACGTCAATGAAGAAACTTTGAGATACAACGTCGTTCCCGAGTATTCGCAAATCGCTGTGCAAATTGATGTCTACTGTAGTATACATGTTGGAGATATGACATGATTGAGAAGAGCACAGTAATAAAAGTTCAAGAATAATAGCGATATTGTTCCACTCCGATTCGCCGAAGTTGTTCATACGGAGAAAGCTAAGTCACGTGTAAGACAATTATGCTTATCTAGTTCTCACTAGTCCTTAATCAGTAAAGTCGAACGCTCGCCTAGCTTCTGTCTCAACATCACTTCACTCAGGCTTCGTTCCTTCCACATCAACATCGTGTTTCCCACCCGTCTAGATTCCTATCTCTCCCCAAATCTCTTCTATATTGTTCTTCTCTTCCCCTTCCATCGATACTTCCCTCCTTCTCCATCATTCTTCCCTTATTGATGCGCTTTTATCGATATCTGGAAACGCAACATCGGTTACAGGGCATATGCTGCACATGCACAATACCTGATGATTTTCCATGCATGAATGAAGTGTATTTTCGTGGTGAAGATGCTAAAAGAAGTGATACTTGGAGAGGAGGTAATTGCACTTTTCTGATATACTCACTTCGATCGTATTTATTGGGAATCAGTGTATTTCAAGGCTTTGATGTTGACTAGAGAAGCATTCCGCTTTGAGAAGTGTCAATCTCGCATGCCCAAGCATGAGTAAGTTTAGGACAGGAAGGGTTATATCATGTTCTTAGAGTTTGATTTGATGCATCAAATTCGAACCAGTGGTTATGGCCAAGTCTCTACACAAGCTGCCAATACGTAACCACACCCAATCAATAAATCAGTAGAACGAGAGGAGCATTTTTACTGATTCGATTGTATTCGATTGTATCTTCTGTTTGTAGCCTGACAGGAACGGAATGGCAGGATCTTAACTGCAAAGCACCTGGGCATTCTGAATTCTCATGTGGCTGGACTCGCCACCATGCTTCCAAGTGCTTTGGTACTGGTAGTGGTGAAGATCGTTCGACAGACCATTTCTCTACATATCACGGTATCAAGCTCTAAGTTTGTAGTTGTAGGGAGAAGCAATGGCTCCGCTCCTATTAAAATTCATGGGTCATCTATCATGATTCCTTGATTGTTGCAGTGCTCGAGAGTAAAGCTTCAATCCGTGGTCCCTGTCTTGCTCTTGCCTCAACCAGCCTCATCACACCACACTGAGTAAGTACTAGGTAAGCATCAATGGGAGGAAATGACTTCTCGTTTGCTTGAAAAGAATTGTAAAAGTACCCAATATAGTAAGTGCACTTTGTGTCCTACATAACCGAAACTTCTGTTCCCTCAAAGAACAGCAACACCACTCCCTTCAATTTCAGTATTGCTGTTGACTGAATCCGTTCACCAGCAAGCTTTTCCTCCAACAGAGCCTCCCTCTGCCTCTTGCTACTCCTTGTGAAAGTCTCTTTATCTCTCTTCTATCGCTTTGTTTATGTCTGTCTCCCACTATCCAGACTTGCAAAATAAATGTTTGGTTTTCGCCCTTTTCAAACTTTTGTGTTTCTGATAACAATTTGACTCACTTCTGCTATACCAGTAAGTTGCATACCATCCCATCAACATTGACTCCTGTGAAGCTGTCCAGAGAATGAGATGGATGAAATGATATTCGAGATCAGAGAAGAGCATATCATGACTTTTGGATGACAACCATTACCATGACAATCTGATCAAGCAGTCATCCCCAGCTTCCAATAAACTATCCTCGAGGATGTTGGTTGTCTACCCCACCTTTCCTCACGTTGGCAGATTTGTTTTGACATTGCACATGCCCATTTTTCCACGCATTCACTTGAAAATATTCAATCACTGACTACTATCTTTGATTTTTTAGCGAGCCATCTTGAAAGGATAGGTATCAGGTATTCAAGAGAAAAAACCAACAACTCAATCTTCAATTCTTTTTTTGCGACAGGATTCCACCCTCCTCTTGACTTCCAATCAACCTCATTCTGCGATACCTTTCGCTGAACAACTTCAATTGTTTAAGAATAACCACAAGCGAGTAAAAGCTCTCAAGATCAAAACTTCGGTTCATTCTCACTCTTGTCGCAAATCACAAGATATAGCTGAGAGACGGCGTCAAACGTGGTGTTTGGCAATTCAATTCATCGACTTTCCGCAATGTCTTTTCTTGAAGATACAAGCATGAAGGCACACCGCTACACAATTGATCAATTGCTTGATCTGAAGAGATCCCTTCCATTTGTTTCTTGTGTGATCGACAACATAAACAAGCACCCTGATATTGGTTAGTATTATCCTGATCTTCCTTGAGTCGCCATTTGACAATTACTAATGAAACGACGTCTGCAGCTGCTATATTCACTCTTCCTGAGCAAGCATTCCACAACCCCCACACTTACACTTGTTTGACTACAATCCTCTCGAAACAATACAAGTATACACGTCCTGAAGTTACAACGCGCCGTGGAGAATCATCATCTTCTTCATCTCAATCAATGCGCAGTCAAGGTAGTTGGTGTTTACGTCAAAATACCAATTCGGAGTCACGCCGCACATTTGACAATCAAATCCAACCACATTCTGCGCCAACTAGCGTAGCTTTGCATCAGGCCGAGAACTTTAGAAGATTCTATAGAGCCGTTGTTTCTCCAACACACGTAAGAGTTACTGCTGGTGGTCGCATAGTTCCAAACACTAGAGCAATGGCACCACCGTCGTTTGAGCCAATTGGCAATAAGCATACATCCGAGTCTCTCCAGCAAACCAACGAGACTGAACAAATTGATCACAGCCGAGCTTCAAATGGTATTGCTGGGGACGCTCAAGCATCTTTAATTCCTGTTGGAGCTCAAGGCCCTCCAGGATTTCATCCTGTCTTTCCTGGCTCTTTCCTACCACCTTATGGCTATTTTCACCAAGGTGCACCAAATATGCCGGGCCAAACATTTAGTCACCCAGGCCACACACAGCCTCTTCATCAAAGCGCCAATAGTAACGATAGCACTAATAGCTCTTTGCAACCAGTTAGAGTCTCTCATCCTGGTCAATTTGACCCGAATCGTCCATACATGATGGTCAATAACCAGTTGTGTTTCCCCACCACAGGGTTTCCTCAACCTCCCAGCGGATTTCCTTCCGGCTTGGTGGGAAACCCACCATTTGGTCCTCCTATGCTAGGCGGCCCTCCAGGACACCATATGCCACACCCAATGCTTGGCCCCATTCCATTTCCAATATCTCCAGGAAATTTTCCGGTACCTATGATGCAACATCCTAATGGACAATTTTTCTCGATGATGCCACAACAAGCTCACACTCAGCAAACTCCGATGGCACCGATGCTACCACTCCAATCGACCTCCACCGATCAGACTCTTCAACAACATCGAGACCATCTCATGATGCTTGAAGATCACATATCCCGTCAATCGCTACAATCAGTTCCTTACTGGGCAAATCAACGTCAGGTTCTTATGGGAGAGATTGCGAGAATGACGAGCTTACTTCAATCTGAGCGCAATCAATCAGGCAGCGGCCAAACTGAACAGGCAAAATCTCAAACCTCGGTCGATGCGGGAAGCTCACTTGATAATTTATCTAACAAAAATGATATTCGAAGTCCAGTCATTGTCAGCTCTAGTCCAAGCACCACCTTACGCAGTCAGGAACCTTCCGTCGCTTATGCAAATTCGTCAACCACGCGAAGTGTTGATTCTCCAACCATTCCGCGAGCTTCCACTACTAAACTTGGATCTGGCTCACGATTGCCTGCTACAGCAGCAATGGCTCCACCATTCCAACCCCGTGGCTGTCGTACAGATCTTAGTGCTGCTGAATGGGATGAATTTGCGAGAGTGACAGATCCTCGTCCGGGAGGTCAAACATCACCACCAGCAACGCCGGAAAACACTGCTCAAAGATTGGCTCGGCTCATGGGTAACTGTCAGACACGTTGGGAGGACTCTGCTGCTGGCTCAAGCATGATCAGCATGCCAAGATCGCAGACGATGCCTGTACTTCAATTGCAAACACATGCAGCATCCTTGCCAAGTTTCCAGAGAGCTGAGACGCACCCTAACTCCGTTTCGCAGATGGCGCAGATGTCTTATGTCCCTGGTATGAATTCACATAATACAGGCCTCCAACCATACGCTCGAGTAAATACTCAAAGCTATGACCCAGAGAGATTCATTGCCCAAAAAGAGTACTTTGGCAATTTGGCAAGCAATATTTCAAATCACGGTTCTACTCGTCAAGCCCCAAGATTTGATACTGGTAGACAGACATCCGCACAAACTTCACCTGTCCATGGTAACAATAACAATCAAACCACATTCACTACGGAAGATTATCTCAACAAATGTCAATCGATATTTCTCAACGAAACAACTGATTCAGGTGTGACAAAATATGCATCACCATGGTCCAGTCCAGAACGAAATTCTGCTAGTCATAATGCTCTGGACACACGACCAAGAGCTGGCAGATCAATTCCACCATTCAGTTTGACTACCAAATCTCTTGCCAATGAGTTTACTAGCAGCTCTCACGGAGATCCGTCTCCCGAAGTTGTCAAAACACCACGTGCTATCTCTGCTGATGCTGAAGGACTCAAGATTCTCTCCGATGTCTTTGCTGAGACCCCTGAGGAGAAAATAAGCTCAGGCAAGAAGTCTGCAGTACTTCAGGGACCTCAACATGATATGCATGTAGCCTTACACAGCCCTTGCACTGAGCAGGCTACGAACTCCGCCGGTATAGGCTCGTCAACTCGTGGCGATCTTGATGTGACTTCTGAGTTGGAGGATCGATTTGCATCAACACCCACTCATTACTCCACTCAAACTACAAGTCATTCTCTTGATCGTCACTATACATCTGAAGATCTGGCTATTATCTTTTCTTCGGATGAACCTCGTGAATCGACACCGAAACGAGTCACAAGACCTGCTAGTACTCCGTCCTTAACACAAAGAGATCTTGGTATTATTTTTAACTCAAATGAACCAGATGCCCCAGACTCCTACCAGGCTAAAAAAGACTCAACTACCTCTGCCATCAATTCCAAAAAGGTTG